CATGAAGCAGATGGCCAGTCGAAAACCTTCCCAGAGCTGTCATTGCCCTCACATCTTCACCCGCTACTGGTTGGCCGGTTGGTGGAAGAGACCGTACTTTGACTCAATCACGAGGCGGACTTGGTATTTGTCAATTAAAGCGTTGCACCACCACCTCCCCTTAAGGAGGCCTGTCTCGGGGGGAAACGGGAAGCCCCATTTTGTTCATGTATCGGCTGTGGGGATGGATATCCAGTCAGCCTTTTTGCGTTGACAGTCATGTTGACTCGTACAAAAGTCTCCAGACATTCAGGTGGGGTACAGTTTTTTTAAGAGGCTCCGAATTCGCAAGATGTTTCCCAGAGTGAGGTTACATTTTCACTGTTGATTGACACAACAAACCCCATTTGGGCGCGTTTATTCAGTTAAAACGGCGTTGTGACTTGTTTATGATTGTGCCCTGAGCCAGATGCAGACAAGTAGAGCGATTCTCAGCAAATGGGGCCCTGAACCTCGCGGATTGAGGAAAAACAGGCTGACCGGATTAGACTCGGAGCAACCTTTTGACATGACAGCACCTACAGTCACATACAGTCGTGTCCTGAGCAGCCTTTAATGCTGTCCGACAAGCATTCTGCCACGTGCATTCATTGTAAGTAGGTTCGAGTCCCGTTGGAGAGGGGCGATACGGCAGTCTGGGTGTGAAAGACAAGAATGAGTGAAATGTACTGAGGCATATCACATACCATAGTTCTTCATCGCCTTATTCCACCAAGTGGACGTTGAGCCACAATCGAATGTGTGATACAGTTTTCCTGTAGATGGGATGGAGGTTCGTCAAATGCAAGACATGTTGGAGGACAGACGGTGTGTAAGTACTTCATGGCTCCTTTGTCAAGTTGTCTACAGCGAGTTGAAGTTGACTCGAAATCCCCAGTTCGCGGCTAAGCGTCTGCACTGAAACTTTGCTCATAGCAATAATGGCCTGACTTGCGTGTACTCCTTTCCGACGGGATTCGAACCGGGGACATGTAAGATAAGACGGCTTATTGAAAGTGCCGCTTGTTGAGCATCCCAACGGGGCTGGGTTGGTATGGCCTGAATGACGTAGCGCAATACATTATTCCGGCCCACTCAATCATCATCAACATCGCAGTCTCCCCAAAAGGGTTCGAGCTTTGTTCATGCAATTTTAGAGCCAATCAAGTTGCCCACTCTGCTTCCCAGCTGATTTGCATCCCTCTTGGAGTAACACAGTTAAGCAGGACTTCCGGTAAGAGAACTACGATTTCTCTGAACTCCGATGAAGTGTGTTGATGAAGCACATCTTTTTATGGATGGAATCTGGATGAGGTATCAATTAGAGCTGCATGTTGTAGCAGCTTTTGGTGAGAATGCGGTTAACTCGTCCGGAGAGGCGTTTTTCAACTTCACAATGAGTGCAAAATTTGATAATTGAGGCTCAAATAATATATTTATGCATAGCTGTACATATTAACAGATGAGGATAAGCACACTGACTCCTGCAGCTTGAGTTGATAAGTATCTTTGAAGAGTCTCTGTCTGTATTATCATACGTTTAAGGCAAAGCAGAAGGATGTTAAGACCTCTTGCTTTGTCTCGCTTTGCCACACCCAGGCACACCGTCTTTTCATGAACCCCACTTCTTCAGCCCTAAAGATGTCGCCTACTTAATGACGGAGTTCACATGGCAACTGTGTTCAAGGACTTTACTGTCTTTTTCACCAAACTGGGCAATCTGCTTGTCTTCATAATAAGTGGGTTTCTAGACTATCGGTAGATCTGGGAAAATAATTCTGGTCACCCTAGGTCGCCTAAGTTGAAGAAGGACCACAGTTGAGTTTTTTTCTATAATGCTGTGAATAGACCCCATAATGCCACTGAATTTCACTAAGCTCTGCCTTCTCAAAGCTATCTTGGTCCAGGTTGAATTAAAGTTGCAATCTCGCCTGAGTCTCATTAGCTCCCTCGTGGGAATAGAATCTGAGTTGTATAGTGTATATTTTCGACACTTCATCAACAGACTAGTGCTGACTAGAACTCTTATTCAAGATCCACTGATATAATCTCATTATCTACTCACTATGAATAGAAATAGTCTAGGAGAATAACATTTAAGGGGTAAAGCCAAGTGAAGTTTACTGGCATCGGGTGGTCTAATCCAATCATCTTGAGAAATGTCAACTATCAGTCCTTCTTCACTTTATATAGCCTAGGGTGGCTTAAATCCTTAATACGCATGACTATTGCTACGACAAAAGGTGGTGCAAACAACTTTATTCACCCACAATATCCTCGATTCGGAGTGCTCAATAAAAAGGTCAAAGGTGGATAGAAATTCGCATTTACGTATTGTTTCGAGACTACCAGTAAATCAGTAATATGACATGTATTCACCCTATTTCATTTAAGGTGATGAAGGACTGGTAGAAGAAGAATTTTCCCACAATGATATAAGTAGAGCTAACGTTCCATTCAATTTCACATAGCCTTGCTTTCCCAAAAGTTGTTCTCTTCAAGACAGAAGTGGACTGCAGTTTTGACCTCGCATCGGTCTTATCAACACCCTCAGCGGGAGTCGAACCGTGACAGTGCAGAATGGGAGCTTGACACGTTAACCACTCGGCTACACTGCCACGAGTACCCTTGAGTCACAGGGCAGATATGAATTTTAAGGAAGGCCAGGCCTTTTTGTCATATTATATTCTTTGGTGGGATTGTCGCTGAAGCAAACGTATATTTGTTATAACAATCGACTACATTACTTTATTTTTGACATTTACGTATTGTTTCGAGACTGCCAGTAAATCGCCCAAATGTATGGGTCGTAAAGATAACGTGTTTCCATGCCCTTTTGCCCCAGGAGAGCTCCAGACGACGAGCGGCTTACAACTTCTTTCATAGTTTTCCCGAAGGTGTCTGACAAAGTAGTAAACCCCACCTTAAACGTGATTAAATTCACTAATCCAGTGCCAAGGTATAGAGCCCAGACTATGAACTATTGTCATAACAAAAAATGTATATGTGCATTCGATATCGTGGTAGTTGCAGGTTCACTCGAGCGATGGAGCTAGTGGTGCTGATGATGATGATGCTGTTGATGATGGCGATGGTGTCGGTGGTGGCGATGATGATGACAACAATGATGTTGATGACAGACGGACGATGATGCTAATAATGATGATTAAGGGGGAGCTGGCGGAGTTGATGATGATAATGGCGGCAGAGATACTGATAGCATTGATGACGAGGCTGATGACAAAGGCGACGACAATGAAGATGAGGATGATGATGATGAATATGATAATGCTAGTGGTGGTTGTGGTGATGATGATGGTGTAAGCAATGATTTTGACAACATTGATGACAAAGGTGATGACGAGGACAATAATGCCTTAACCCTAACCCTAACCGAAGACAACGGTGGATTCCTCTTGACCAACTGTCGATAGGCGTTACTGGAAGATTCATGCTGACGCTGTTTCCGAGGTAATCTCCTTCGATTCCGGTGAAAAGGTTCTAAGCTTTCGTCCGTCATATAGCGAACATCATCAGAGCAAGGTACCATCTTCACAAAAAAATTCAAGCTAACGAATTTTGTTATGACGATGATACCTTGCTCTGATGATGTCCGTCATATGACGGACGAAAGCTTAGCACCTTTTCACCGGAA